ATTTGTACGAATTATCACGATTTTTGCCCAAATCGCGTTCGTGCAGACCAAAAAATTATCCAACACTCAAAAATTGTGAGAGCAAAGTGACAGTTCTCTTGGAGAGAAGTTGCAAATTCTTGCTGGAAAAAATTTTGCCAGCAAGAATTTGCAAACACGAAAAACATGTGGTTGTGGCGCATGGTTGCATTTTTGTCTACAATAATTTGAATAAATTAGTTCGTTAAATTTAAAAATTTATAAACACGAGCGATTTTTTTATGAAAAAAGGAAGTAAATAATTGTTGATATAATTAATTTAGTTAATTCCAATGATTTGAACTTAATTCGGCTGAAAAAAGTGGTATTCGCAATAGGAATGCAATTGCAACCAGAGTCGATTTAAGAAACCCGACAGCTAGTACGATGAAGAAATTGAAATGTATGTTAAAGAAAGTCAGAACAACAAGAAATATACATGTATATCCTATTTTTGGCCATCCGAAAGAATTTTAAAAATTCTATACAAATTTTTTATGTTTGAAATGCAACCGTGGACGCCAGCTGGCAGGGAAACTTGCAAATTCCTGCAAATTTGCGTTCGTGCAGAAATTTGCAAGTTTCTCAACATGAGAGAGAATTTGAGAGAATTTTTTCTTACTCTCTGATATTTTGAGTGTTGGATAATTCTTGCTGGATTTTCGACGAACAAACCTATTAAAAACGTTTGGCATAAGTTGAAATCATAGGGATGCCGTTTTCTTTCGTTTCTCAATGGATTTTATGCTTGAAAAGGCACCAAAATATGTATGCAATACTTTTACATATCGTCATTTAAAGTACAAAACCGCGCATCAAGAAAATGCAAAACCTTGTATGTGAGGTTGCCTAAATTTTATAGGAGAGAGTAAAATTTGTCATAATACAAAACGGTTCCCTCTTTTAAACTTAATTATCACTTCTTATGTCTAAGTATCGAAATTTTAGTATAAATGATTAAGGGCTAGATGATAGGAGCTTCCGGTGAGCAAATATCTTTTTTTGGCACAAATGTCAGTTACGAGGTTTTGCAGAACCACGATACGCGATTTTTTACTTTAAACGACGATATACAGAGGGCGCTTACACAATATGTTAGTGTTTGGCCTAGCTTCTCCTCCCATATGGGGCGTGCAAATTGATTTTGTCACACAAAGGGGAAGGGCAGTTTTACGCCGACTCCGAACGGCAATTGTATTTTTATGAGAAGCTGTTTTCATGACAGAATACACTCGGAGGTTTACTATTATCAATAGAGGAGCGACAGCGAACAGCGGAGTGTATATATTGAGGGCTGAGTGGAAGATCGACCTATCTCGGCAGCCAGTTCGAAAACGCCCTATCTCAGAAAACTTTTCAAAAACGCCCTACTTCAGAATTTTATTGAAAAACACTCTCTCTCAGCATTTGGTTGAATAACGCCCTATTTCATAATCCGGCTCAAAAACGCCCTATCTCAAACGAAAATACATTGAAAATAAGCTGAGATAGGGCGTTTTTGAATCGGCAGCTAAGATAGGGTGTTTTCAATCAAATTCTGAAGTAGGGTATTCTTGAAAAGTTTTCTGAGATAGGGCGTTGTTGAAAATTTTTCTGAGATAGGGCGTTTTCGAACTGGCTGCTGAGATAGTACGATCTTCCATTCAGTCATCGATATTTAATATAAAAAATAATGAGAGGTGCTATAAGAAAATGTACCCAAAATTCAGGAGCAAATGAAAAAATGCTCATCGAAAATAACTCACATGTATAAATTAAATAATATAACTTAAGCGGTTACAGCGCTAAACAAAAGGAAGAGTTAGAAAAAATAGCAATGCGGTTTGAAGGAAACATAAGACCATAAAATGTTTGTTTGTTAATTCTCCCAACCTTTTAAGATAATAATAATAATATCCCAACGGTTTTTACCCTCCATTCCCGCCCATCCGCACGAGGGGCGCAGTCCGCATGACGTACGGAACCAATATTTTAAATTTTTGTGCCGAGTCACGATAGGCAGGAGTTTGTTAAGTGTCGAGATCTAAAACTGTTCAGCTACAGAACTAAATTCATCAGCTGATTTTATGTATTTATGTCAATAATTCACTTATTGAGAGAGGAGAGTATCGCTTTCTTAATGCTGAAAAGCGGATCTGATATATCAAACGTGCTGGAATGAGAGTTAAAATCCTGGCATAAGCAACGGAGTGGGTCTCGCAATTCAAAATTGGTTTTACAAGCTTTCAGAAATATGGGACAAAAGTGTCTTGATACGCGTGAGGGAACATTAAAGCTTACATCAGCCAGAAGAGACGGACTTGAAATTGAGCCTGTCAGTAATTTAACCATAAAAATTATACCAAGCATTTCCCTGCGACTGGCAAGTGTAGGAAGGTTAATAAGTTTTAAGCGACTCGTATAAGGTGGAAGACTATGTTGAGAATCCCATCGGAAATTTCTTAAAGCAAAAAATAGGAATTGTTTTTGAATTGATTCTATCTTGTCTGAGTAAATTTGATACCTTGGATTCCAAACCACCGAGCCGTATTCCAGAATCGGCCTAACTAATGTTGTAAACAGGGTTTTAGTGATATAAGGGTCACTAAATTCTTTTGACCATCGTTTCACAAATGCAAGTACACCTTTAGCCTTGTTGACTGTCACATTAATGTGAAGATTAAAATTAAGCTTAGGATCCGTTGTGATACCAAGGTCCACAAAATTGAATACCTGGGGCCGAATCACGGCTCTCGTGATCGAGTAAAATTTATCGAAATTTGGCATCACCCCATTCGATATCGAGCAGACGTTCGAGTAGAATTATTCAAAACACCATTCGACAGTAAATTTTGCATCGAGAAGTGGGAAATTAAAATAAAACAACAAAATGTGAGTATATTTCTAGTAAAAACTATTGCAAACTTTAATATCTTTTTATATTTAAGGACAAACATAAACAAAATCAACAAAAAACAAAAAAGTATTATGGCGGAATATATGCAGGAGCACCCGGATTTGGCCAGAAATATTCTGCCAAATTGCGCTCAAGGAAGAACCGTTGCTCAAAGATTGTGGGAGCAACTTTCCTTAAAATTAAATTCTGTTGGTCCGCCTACAAAAGAACTTAAAATGTGGCGTAAAGTAGGTTGTTTTGAATTTATATAATCAGAAGTTAGTGTATTATTTGGCTTAAAATTGTAGGTATTTGCAGACCATAAGCAGCACTTTAAAAAGAAGCTGTCTTTTAATAAAGCTTCTAAGCAAAAGACCGGAAGTGGGTCTTACCAAGAAAAGCTTTTGACGGCGTCCGAGGAGCTGCTGCTGCAAAAGCGATAACGTAGCAGCTAATTGCAAGACGGAGGGTACTGATGTGGACATATGCCCCTCAAACTCAAGCTCCGAAAGCACGTACTCGAACGCAGGTTTTGACAGTCGGAAACGTTTTTTGAATCTGCAAATAAAGAACTTTAACGTATGAAACAAATACCTACTAGAAAGGTTAGAATCATTAAAACTTACGCTGCTGCTGGTAAACTTAAGGGATTGCTTTTGCCACGTAATCCTCTCCGTATCTGCACTTGTCTGACTTCATTATCATAATAAGATTAGCTCGAATAAAAAAATACTGAAATATTCATTTTATAATAACTGATATGAATATTTTATTTCTTGTTTACGTTTGAGAAATGGTTAAAGATGATACATTTACTAATTGGCAACCGATTAATAATCGAAGAAATTTCGCTAGCTTGCGAATCGAGGGCCATGATTTGCCTATTCGATTCGAATCGAAATTTTTCTCTACTCGACCAGTCACTCGTTCACGAGAGCCGTGATTCGGCCCCTGTTCCAGGTTATGGTTACCTATTATATAAGAAACTGGCAGAACAGCTCTTCGCGAGAAGCACATTACTTTACATTTCTTAAGATTTAGAGGCATAAGATTTACTTTACACCAGTAAGCCATGCTGTTTAAGTCTGATTGTAGCAAAGACCTTTCTTCAATTGAAACGTACGATTTATAAAGTTTTACATCATCTGCATACATTAAAATTTTGGTGAATTTTATATCTGTAGAAATATCGTTTATAAAAAACAAGAACAGAATCGAGAAATCGGGAATCAGATATGACACTCCATTCTTTGCATTACTTGGCAAATATACACTTATTGTTCTACAATGGCAAACATTTTCGTGGGATGTTTTTTCTTTAATTTCGAATTGAAAATACATTACGATCATATTGTACCGAAATAAGTCTGGTATCCCTGCATTTTGTAAAAGCCAGAAAGAAGCATCAACTGTATGAAAAAATGAAAGGGAGAAGTATACATACCTTCTATAATTTTGACTTATATGTATATTTGGCAAGTCTTTTTGTAAACAACAAAAAATACACATTTTCATTTCTTTGCAAGCTTGGAAAATATAGGCTTATTTTTACTTAAATGTGATATAAAGCTCATTAAAATGTTGAGTAATATCTTGTTATCGTAGTGCTTTGTATTTTTATTGTCCACCATACGTGAATTGTTTCTATTGAAAAAGATCTAGTACAAAGATTTTTTGTTCTTTTGGAATTGTTTGTTTATTGTTTTTAATTTTTAAAATTCCTACATTTGACATGTATGTATGTGAATGGCGGAATTGCCGCTTTCCTTCTTTTCGGTGGGTTTTATATTAAAAAAGGCATCAAAATGGGAAAAAACCTCCTTGGTATCTCTGCATCTGTTGAACTTTTTATGGGAAGATGTATGAAAATCCAACTTGCTATAATTTCATATGCTTAACAGTATAACAACAGTATGTTTACAGTATCTCCCTATCTCCCTTTCTTATGAAAAAATCTATTATATGCATCCCACTCGATATCATTGAATTCCTCATAAGAACATGTAGTCCCTCTATTTTAGCGTATCAACAGTTCATATGGCTTCATACCATGTAAATGCACCATTATGTGATTTTATAATAGAAAGTCATAAATTTGAAAAAGCGACTACGACAACAAGTAACATTTAAATTGAATCTTTTTTATTATGAAAATTTGGATAAATAGGAGCCTTATAAAATTGTAACATAACATAACATGTCATAAGATACATTAACAGTCTATACGACCTAAAGCAGCTTTCTAAGTTCATCAGAAGATTGATACTTTTGAAAGTTCATAAATAAGTATGATAGCGACTTTTGGAAGAAGACTTAACATTTGATGCTATTTTTTCAGAATATAAAAAGATTTTGCACTCTGTTGTTAGTGGACATGCAACTACTTTAAATACTGGTACGTAATCCGCCAAAAACTAAGAATCGAAAAAATTTTACATAGCGCACTTTGCAAGTAGACTACTCAAATGTACTTGTAGTTTGAAAAATTTTGCAATTTTAAACATTCTATATATGTGTATATTTTAAAGATCTCAAGTTCAAAATCAAATACTGAACATCTTATACGTATATTTATACAGATTCTTGTTGAAAAATAGATACTTTTCAGTAGTAGTTTTATATGCTCTTTTTAGAGTGTACTTGCTATTTATTATATTTACTTTGCAAAATACTTATGCACAAAAAATATACTTTATAAATTGAAATTACAAATGTTTCATTTTATGCACATGTATTCCAAGTCCTTAAGATGGGTTAAATTATGTCTTTTTCATGAGAATGTTAGGTTTTCTTACAAATTATGAGATGTATATGTAAAAAAAAGAAAATTGGATACATTTGGATACATTTTTGGCTTGGTAAGGGATACATTTTCTTGAGACGGCGCGGCAACACTGGTTATAATCCCTGAAGCCGGCCGAAGGCAGAAGCAAGCGCAACAGGTGATGGACCTAACAAAGTACATGTTTTCAATGGCTTGGAAGAAGCTGTTATTGCATTAACTGGATTGAGAACCAGATCTTCAGGCATAGGAGGAGTTCTGGCTTGTGGTTCAACAATTCAACCAGAACCTGATATAGATGCGCCCATGGTTACTATGCCCGGCAGCTCCGCATACCTTTGTGAGTCCATTGCCATAGCTCGCTCTTACTCCGCTGCTATAACTGCAAATGCATCAGAATCCATAATTTTCTTCAAAATATTGAAAATCAATAAATTTTACTATAAACAAGCACATGATGAGTGCTTTTTTAATTCCTTTCCACTTTGTTTTCCTTCATTCAGCTATCTTCGAAAAACAACTCATAGCTGGCAAGGCTGCACATGTTTCCGCAAGGGTTGCAGCATGTGGATTTTTAGTTTTTCGTAGCGTAGCAACGAGTAACGTACACAAGTATTTCTCAGCTGTGCGATAAATGTGATTGCAATTTAACAGTGCTCTTTTGCCTATTAGATTTAAAATTAGTTTGTATCAGAAGATTTGCGTTGTAATTTTGTAATTGAAAGCGGTTGATGTACTACAAAAGACTGACACCCCTATTGCGTGTCGACTGGCAGTAGAATAGAAATTTGTCGATCGAGTCGATTATCTTTTATTTTGCTATTGTGTAACTTCATCGATAAAAATTTGTACTATTGTGAATGGTTGACTGAATTGTAAACAGCTGTTTGTTTGTTTACATTTGTTTCTTTAGTGTTTAATTGACATCATTTTTAAAATAATTGCTTTTATTATAAAATTAGAAAAATTTATGGTTTAGTGATGAGGAAGATGATGTGGAAGCTAATAGATTAGTAGAGTTGGCTAAAGCAAGGAGGAAATTGTGAGATTCGTCGAATCCCTTGGAGTTGGAAGATGGAGTGTATGTACATATGTGAATTTTATGAAAAGTAGTTGCGTTCCAGATGCTTCACGGTTTGCAAGATTTGCAGGAAAAGCT